AAGGTATATATGGCAGGGAAGTGTGAAGTGGAGAAAAGACTTGGTGGAAACTATCAAAGTAACTGGATAGTTGGTTTTTAAGACTCAGAAACCAAACTAAATCAAACTAGTTATAGCCTCTCTTGATTGCAAAAGTGAGCAAAGAATCAGGAGCCAGGATGAACTAACAGATGGTTTGGAATTATCAACTGGTGTGAAGAGCACCCTCATGGGCCATCCTTGGAATTCAGCTACACTCTGTGTAGTCTGGGCTAGGCTATGAAGGTCCTGGAGCAGAGCAGTGGGAGAGTCTTCAGAGAGCCTGGTGTAGCAGCATGGTGGGATAGTGCAAATTCATCTGGCAGTCACACCAGAAAGTTACTAATGTCAGATGTATGTGATGTATGTGTATTTTCACACAATCTTGTTTGTTCATGCATTTTTAACGACTTGTAGAGAGGTGGGTATTAACTGTGGCTTCTGGATCCTTTTGGCACCAAGACGGAATAATAAGCTTTCCATATAGTATAGATTCCAAATAACATAGATCTTGTCTTCAAGATCTTGCCGTCTACTTCAAGTGAGTCCATTCACAGACTCCACATCTTACAGTTATGAAATCATTAATTATTATAAAAGCTGAATTTACTAAACTAATATGACTAAACAGTGAAAGAAAGTGGGTTGGGCCGGGCATGGTGGCTCCTGCCTGAAATCCCAGCACTTTGGGAGGCCAAGGTGGGCGGGTCACAAGGTCAGGAGATAGAGACCATCCTGGCCAATGTGGTGAAACCCCTTCTCTACTAAAATACAAAAAATTAGCCAGGCATGGTGGTGTGCACCTGTAGTCTCAGCTACTCAGGGGGCTGAGGCAGGGGAATCGCTTGAACCCAGGAGGCAGAGGTTGCAGTGAGCTGAGCTCACACCACTGCACTCAAGCCTGGTGACACAGCAAGATTCCATCTCAAAAAAATAAAAGAAAGAAAGTGATACTGAATACTGGAAAAGTAGTCATAGTCTTGTTGATAACATGAGATCTGGGGGTTTGGGTTATCCTAGAGTGTTTTACAAAGCTCACAAAGATACACTGGTTTTCTTTATATCCACTTCCGTACTTTATCGCTATATTTAGTCAGTAATTTCTAAGTATTTCTCAGAATTTATTGAGCTCCTTCTGTATACCCAAGTGCTGTGGATGGAGAATTCTAGAAAAGTATACAATCCTTGTCAATTTTCAGGCATACAGTCTTCTTGGAAAGACCAAATTTACATTAAAAAATGAAAAATAGCAACATAAACACACAAAACTTTTGAATGGCATTGCACAGGAAATGGGCTTATGTGTAAAATTTATTCCCATAACACATTATTATAATCTATAAGAAGAAAAACCAAAGATGGGTTGACAGCCACAAATCAAATTAATACACATTTATTGATCAAAGCTATACTAGACAATAGGGAGAAATACAAGAATTGCACATGAAACTCAAAAAGTTTTCAGCCTAGTCTTGGATATGAGACATACTTTTGTAAGTCATGGAAACCAAGCAGAAAGCATAGGAGAGATGTCATCAAAATTAAAAGCTTTTCAAAAATATATAATAAGGCTTCACCAGACTGTGCTCAGCATCTAACTTGCAATATCCTTAGGCATCTTTTGCCTCCACGGTGGTCTTTGCTTGTCTAGTTCTTATATGATACTCTAGTATAGGGCTCACATATCACTGCAAGACTCTTGTGACAAAACAACCTAGATCCTGGATTTATGAAGCAGCTTAGTGGGGAAAAATGAATTTTGAGGTCAGAAAAAATAATATTCAAATGACAAATCTCATTTTCACTGAACCTCATTTTTCTCATGTATATAGAAATAGTGATAATAATGCCTCATCAGTATGATTTTGTGGAGATTAAGTGATACATATGCTTATGGATATATTTAATAAATGGTAATACATACTTAATAGTTGGTAAGCATTGTTATTATTGCCTTTGGCATGATCTGTTTTAGAACCACAATCTAATCACATGATCTGTTTTAGAACCACAATCTAATCAGGCCTCTTATGAGTGTAATTGTAGCCACTAATATAGCATTGAAATCTCTGCATTGTAAATAGTTTACAAACAATCCAATAACATACCTTCACAGTCGTGTATCTTAATAGACACTTGCTACCAATAATATTTAACATTTATTCTGAAATTTACAGTTTACAAAGTACATTCAACTATATCATCTCATTTGATCTTCAGCCTTTTTGGAAAGTTGTTACTACTATTCCCATTCCACAAGGAAGGAAAATTAGTCAGAGAAGGTTAGAGGACCTGCCCTAAGATCCCACCACTAGGAAATCACTAAGCCCCCAATCATATAATCAGAGGTTGCTAAACCAACCTTGAGCCTATGACTTCTGACTGGAAGTCTCATACCTTTTTCTCTTCTTCACATGCCTCTTCTTTTTTCTATTTTCTTTGTTTCTTTTTTTTTTTTTTTTTTTTTTTTTTTTTTTTTTTTTTTTTTTTTTTTTTTTTTTTTTTTTTTTTTTTTGGTGAGATCCAGTGAAAACTATCTTTCTCCAGAGTTTCTATTTAGCCACAAGATACGTTCTCATTAAGCATCATGAAAATATTATGACTAACTAGTTGATCCATTATGTGGATACGTATGCCAAGGTTATGTTTACCATGCCCAGAGTTTTTGGTAAAGACATAAAATTGTGTTTTGTAAAACCTGCTGGATTGCTATTTGTTTTATCATTTAATTAGGATTCCACAGAACAGATTGACATTAAAAAGCTGTTAACTCTGTTAACTCCGAAGGGCATAACTAATGAAATATCCCCAAATTTAAGCACTTTCCAAAACCACCATATCGTAAAAAACCGCTCTCTATTTATCAAGATGAAAGTATTTCCTTTATCTAAATGAAATCTGTAATTTGGAACGAAGATTAAAGATTATTTGGAGGACAAAGTTAAAGTTGCTGTGAAAATTCTAGAAACTAAAAAATAAAGAGAGCTTTACTCAGTATTCACGAAGTTAGATTGCTGATGCAAATAGAGATGACAATCTCCTTTTTCTAATAACTTGGCTTCTAGCACTGCTGTATCAGTTTTACACAGATTCCTGCTCAACTTTAAAGAGAATTACTGCAAATTGTACAATCTTTGTAAAAAAGAAAGTTGAACATATCCAATATGCTTTTTGTCCTGTTTGACTGTTAATTGTCTAAGGATGTCTAAAGTACATGATTAGAGGTGCATAAATAATAAAGAAAATATATGTTGCAGTGTGCATAATGTATAAACATAGATGTTGATAAGTGAAGCCTTTTGGTATTGAATATAGCATATAGCGTACTCTCAAAAAGCAGTTTGAAGAGAATAACTATGAATATTCGTTTAGGTTTAATTTTGCTTCCTTGAGAGATAAATTTCTTTAGCAAAGTCATTTCATAAAGAAATGATACAGGTGGACATGGTGGCTCACACCTGTAATCCCGGCACTTTGGGAGGCCAAGGAGGGCTGATCATTCAGGAGATCAAGACCATTCTGGCCAACATGGTGAAACCCTGTCTCTGCTAAACATACAAAAATTAGCTGGGCATGGTGGTGTGTGCCTGTAGTCTCAGCTACTTGGCACGCTAAGGCAGGAGAATTGCTTGATCTTGGGAGGCGGAGGCTGCAGCGAGCTGAGATTGCACCAGTGCACTCCAGCCTGGGTGACAGAGTGAGACTCTGTCTCAAAAAAAAAAGAAAAAAAGAAATGATACAAATTTTAACCCTCACCGAATTTATTAGAAATCCTTGCCTTATACATGACAGAAGTCTTCACCTCCTATATTTTTTTGTAGAATGTAAGAGAAAATGAATGCAAATTCTATGAATGCTTACTTCATTTCTTTATGTGGTAAATGTAACAAATAGTTGAGGTGGGGAAGGTACAGGAATTCTTAGTCATTTCATTTATCCCACAACACAAGAGTGCCTTTACAGGTCCTCAAGATATGCTTGTTGAGCTCCTTGTTAAATAAGTTAACAGAAATAATCTGTCTCAGAATACACTATTCATTATTTAATTTTTTTTATTTCTGTTTTTCAGGCCAGTCCTGCTCCTATAATTGTCAACACAGATACTTTGGACACAATTCCTTATGTAAGTAACATTTTTGTTAATAACTTCTCTTAAAACTGTGGTAGAACTTAGCTGAATTTAAATTCAATTCATGTTTAGTTTCACCCAATCTAAATAATCTTACAAAATGACATGTGGTTTTGTAAATTTTCCTTTAATATTTGCTAAATCTTGTCTTAGTCATCAAATATTTCCCTCTTTCATTCATGTTTTGTAAAACACAAGGGCCCATTATGAAAAAAAATAGACAACTCTGTTCAAATAGTGTTCGTTTGCTAAGTGGTTCACTGAAAAGAGATTGAATTGCTCATAGACATGAGCAAACTCCTTTGGGTTTCTTATGAAAGGAATACTGGAGTCAATTTATAAGACAAAGTGTGGAACATAAAGTAAGTAGTAAGTAACCGATACATATTTTTATGGATTTTGTTGGGCTTCTAATAAGAAGTGGACAAAAGTTTTGTGAGGGTAGCACGTACCTAATATAATGAAAGTTTTGGTTTTGTAAAAGCATGGAGAAGGAGATAATAGAATCAGGCAAACCAATGAAGCCTAGGATTCTGTACTTCCAACACAACCACTCTAATGGCAAAAGTTGAAGATAGAGTCTGGCTGGGCAGGGAAGACTGGAGACCAGCTACAGGCAGCAATGTGGGGGAGTGGTTGATGTTATGGAGATCCAACAAGGTTTGTGAGTGGGGCCTAGCTGAAGAGTGGAGGATAGTGATCGAGGAAGATGGGACAGCCACAGATGCATGCTAGACAGGGGATATGAAGCAGAGAAGAAGGGGTGCAGGGGAGAAGGGGTAATGGACAAGAACAGACAGATTCCTGGCCTTCGATTAAATGAATAAAGCACATAAAGCACTTAGAACCGTACCTAGCACAAAAGGTGCTTGCTAAGTACTGGATCTTCTCTGTTTTAGCCCACAGCCTCAAATCCCTTCAATGACCAAGCAAATCACAGAAACAAATGGAGCAGTCAGAGACTGTGGAGAATAGAAAGCACATGGCCATTTACAGGGAGCAACTGCCACATGAAGTCTGTGGGTGCCAGGTCATTTTACAAAATAAGATGGAAATTTGTACATGTTTGCAATTTCTAAATACAGGCAACCAATTTTCAAAAGTGCAAACACTGTGTCTGCCAAAGTATGTCTAGTCCATAGGCTGCCTTTTGAGAGATGTTGCCTCAAAGGAACTGGCCGTTCCTGAGCAGGTTCTGCAATCCGGGACTCAGCCACAGGGGAGCAGGATGCCAGAACTGGAGTACAAGGTTGGGACTTGATTATAAGAATGAGGAACTAAAACTGGGACACAGGGTCAGGACAAGAATAACAGCTAGCTTGACTTAATGCTGAATCACCTGAACTACTGAACTAGGGCTTCTTAAATCTTTCTGAACAAGAAGAGTTTGGGGCCAGACCGGAAACGAGGTTAAGCTTACTGGTAGGAGCCAAGTGACCCCAACACTGGAAAGTAAAGGGCTCTGGAGAAGAAAACAAAGCAACGTCTTAAAGGCACCTACATCCACTATTCTCTCACTCTTTCTACCTTTCTTTACTTATCAAACATCTATAATAGTGTATGTCTAACATCGTTTTAGGCACTTAACAAATTTTAACTCATTTAATCCTCATAACAATCCTATGAGGTGTAGGTATCGTTAATTTCTCTATTTTACTGATGGGGAAAATGAGTCATAAATAGGTCAATTAACTGGTTCATGGACTCACAGTAACAGGCAGAGTCAAGAGTCAATTCAAATAGCCTGCTGTAGAGTTAGAAGTCTTATTTAACTTCTAACATGATGCCATATATGCTTCTTTCTTCCCTCCCTTGTTTTCTGCCTGTCAGCTTGTGAACATAGTTTCCTTACTTATTCCCCTGATACATACAGATATATATATATATATATATATATATGTATGAAGGAATCTTATGCCCCAAACAAATCTCTTCACCATAGCCACTGGTAAAGCAGGTGAACAGTGCTCTCAAGAAGTAGTCTTGGAGCACAGAGGTTGATTTTGTAAGCAGGACCACTTTCTTGTGGTAGATCTATATTGTTTTAAAGCCTCCTATTAGGGTTCTGGTGGCATAAATGCCAGATGCCCTCATGTAGAAATAATTTTATCAGTAAGATCTAAGGGTCTTGTGTAGACATGCTCAATTCGTATCCCAACTGATTAGCTAGTAACATCAGTTGCAAATAATACATTCATCAAATTGTTTCCATTCTCAAATTTCAAATACAAATATCAGGTTTGTATCTGATTTTGAGTCCTTCAAAAATTTTTAAGCAACTTTTTATTAATTAATTAATTGAGACAGAGTCTTGCTCTATTGCCCATGCTGGAGTGCAAATGGAGTCCAGTCTTGGCTCACTGCAACCTCCACCTCCCCGTGATTCTCCTGCCTCAGCCTCCCGAGTAGCTGGGACTACAGCCGTGTGCCACCTCTCCTGGCTAATATTTTTTATATTTTTTATGTTTTGTTTTTTTAGTAGAGATGGGGTTTTGCCACATTGGCCAGGCTGATCTTGAGCTTCTGATCTCAGTGATTCGCCTGCCTTGGCCTCCCAAAGTGCTGAGATTACAGGTGGGAACCACCACACCCACCCTAGTCACCATTATTATGCATTTCCTTCTTAAAAATATTATCTGAATGCCAAATCTTAACAACAAAACACAGTGGGTTACATTAAGGATGTAACGATCTTTATAGTGGTTTGTGAGCAGCTTGATATGATGAAAATGTCCCAAGTATCATAATAGTATGTTCTTTAGTAATTTATTTAATCTCTATGCACCTAAATTAACCTCTAAGACAGGACTTGTAATGCCTGCCTCAGAGATTTTGTTAGCTTCTGGTTGAGAGCAGCTAAAGTATTTATCTTTTTTTTTTAAAAAAAAATAAACACTGATGAGGTAATACATGCTAAATTCTAGAAGGACAGTAAATATGAATACCTTTCCAGATGTAGAAGAAACATGAATACATTATCTATTGAAAATGGCAGGTTTAGCGCGAACTCATTAATGTGGATACGCTTTGGCTGTTGGCAGGGTCCCAACTCTCCCCTTTGTTCCTGACTCACTGGGTAACCTTGAACAAATCACTGTTCCTTTCACAGTCTATTTTCTCATTCCCCAGTGTTCTATACTTTTTTTCCTCTTTTCTTCCTCATGTTCTAGTTGTTCACATAATTTCAGCTCTATTTAATGAAAAAATGATTTCAGAGTTCCCTAGGGCATTTTAGGGACGTTGCATAAGAACATTTCTTTCTTAAAAATATTAACTGAATGCCAAATTTTAACATATATTAAAATCTTTCTAAAAAATAATTTCATCACAAGTAAATGTATTAATTTTGCTGATTAGCAAATTTGATTTTCGATAAAAATTGTTCTTGTGGAACTGGTTCCTTGGCACAAATTGAATAGCCACAGGAAATTTCTAGGTCCACAGGGAATTTTTATGCAAGTGTCAAAAGTACAAAATAAATTTAAAGACTTCTTTTTTTTTTATTTAAAGGAAGATAAGAGATGTTAGAGCTTGCATTAATGAAAGGGTCACTGAAGTTCTTACGTGAAAATGTCTTAAGTAAGCTCTGTCTTATATGAGGTCATGAGATATTAGGGTTAAGTATGACCTTACATGTGTCATAGACTAGCTTCTCATGCAAAGCCGGAATCCCTGTATGAAAATTAAAATCACCCAACCAGAAATAAGAAGAGAGAGAAAAATATATTTTTCCATTGCAATACTCTCTAGCTTCTATTTTTTGCTCAGTCTTTTTATTCTTTCCCATTACATGTGGAATATTGTTTCATGTCAGGTACTGAAAATACTTCGTTCTTAGGGAGCTCAGGGTGATTAGAGCCTGATGGTGAATCCAGCTCCCTGAAGGTTGACTCAATCAAATAACAATGCGTTACTCTCCGGGTACTCTGCAACCAACTGATAATGCACTCTCCTCTTTTTTTCAGCAGACACTTCAGAGTTCAGTATTGAACAGCACCCTAACAAATCCCAGTCTTTATGCTTTAAAAAATAAAATTAAGCTGAGATATTTTAGAATGCTTTTTTTTTTTTGGTTTAACTTTCTCTACTATTCATTTTATATTTTGTTAATAGTCTGACTTGTTTTATAGAAATGCACTGTCGAGAGAGATATACTTGAGAATCATGAGTTTCAAATCTTGTTAAATAACCCGGAGTTCAATGAACACAAACCTTTCATTTTAAAGATACAGATTTTCTATCTCAACTAGTAAATGGTAGGGCTTGATCTACCATTTACTGCTACCTCATGTAATTGCCAATTTTTGATGTCTAATCAACAACTAAAAAATCAGTGGCAATAAGCAATTATTTCTTCTCTGTTTGTCAGTTACCTAGGACAGCTGCTTCAGGCTGCAGAATGCAGTAGTCTCACTATCCTTGGGTGATACATTCCAAGTCTCCTGATAGATGCCTGAAGCTGCAGATAATGCCAAACTCTATCTACATGAATTTTCCATCTTAACTCTCAGGGACTGTGGCCATAACTTTTGCAACATGGGGTGCAACAGCAAAACTAGCATGATTCTATTTTTTCTTCTTCACAATTTCATGAATGGAAGATTCAGTTTTACTGTAGATCTTAGCAACTTCAGTATACAGTGTTTTCTCTTAAGTCAGGAATTTTCATGTTTTCACTTAAAGGAAGCACTTTAGGGTTTTTCTTTGGCATATCTGAATTGTCAGTATCAGTATTGTGCTTTTGGGCCATTTATTATTATTATTATTATATTGAGATTAAGTCTCATTCTGTCACTCAGGTTAGAGTGCAGTGGCGTGATCTTGGCTCACTGCAGCCTCTGCCTCCTGAGTTCAAGTGATTCTCCTACCTCAGCCTCCATGTCCAGATAATTTTTGTATTTTTAGTAGAGGCAGTGTTTCGTCATGTTGCCCGGGCTGGTCTTGAACTCCTGACCTTAGGTAATCCACCCACCTCCGCCTCCCAAAGTGCTGGG